AAGACGAAGAGGGGTATTTATATGAAGAAGTGTGAAAGAGGATAGGGACAACCGGGTGAACCGGTGGAGGTGACCGGCTGGAAGGGCAGTTGCTAATGTATAGCTGGCACTGACACGCGTCGCCCAACAGGGAAATAGACGGGACACCTATCGAAATCAGATTACAGAAATCTCGGCTCTTTTTTATTTTCGTTTAGCGGAAGACGAAAACAATAGGAAAATGTGGAATGGCATATTTTAATTGCGGAAATTCAAATCACCGACCGTTTTGGAAGTTAATGTGGCCTACGGTTGGGAAAAAAATTACATATTGGGTTTGACTAAGCCAGGCTGGAGAGCACTAGCGGATTTTTGTGATATTTTGAAAAGAGAAGCCTGAGAAGGTGACTTTTAGAGAGAGAAAGAGCAAGTCTGAGGTGGCAGAAGGCGACAAAAACTTGACCAAACAAGCGGATGGAAGGGCGAGCGAGAGCCAGCCTGTTGAGCCTGACACTTCCCAACGGCCGTTGGATTTATGTCCACGTGGCCGTCCTGCAATTTTTTGAAATAATTGTTAATCATGCTATACTAGTATAACTAAGGGAAAAAACTTTTTCACCCCATAACAAAGACACATTAAGTTTTTCACACCGCCCAATAAAAAACTAATTTTTTCATCCTAAAAAGTGCGAAGGTTATGCGAAAACTGTCGCATATTCATCGCATAATTGTCCATATGCGAAGGTTATGCGAAAAACTTTCGCATAACTGTCGCATATCAATTGCATAATTGTCGCATACTCATCGCACAATGTCTTCGCACAATTATGCAATTGATATGCGACAGTTATGCGACAGTTTTTCGCATAACTGTCGCATATCAATTGCATAACTGTCGCATATTTATTGCACAATGCCTTTGCACAATTATGCAATTGATATGCGACAGTTATGCGACAGTTTTTCGCATATCCTTCGCATATGGACAGTTATGCGATGAATATGCGACAGTTTTCGCATAATCTTCGCACTTTGTGGGGTGAAAAACTTAGCTTTTTATTGGACGGTGTGAAAAACTTAACAAGACTTCAAAACGGAGTGAAAATAGATATTTTCACTATAACTAATATAGAGGAATGCTCGCCTACTCCGGTGGGCACATGTTAATATACCCACCGCTTATGTGTGATGCACACATGTGATGTAGTTTTTTTGAACATATTAACATCACCAATGTGCGCATGTTACGTAAGCGGTGAGCATACTAACACGTGCCTATCGTGGGTAGGGGAGCATTATCTAACTAGTACAACGTCGTGTATTACACGGGTGCTTGCTAATTTTTTCTTAAAATTTAGAATTAATGAGAAAAAGTAATTGAAAATTTAAATACCTTTTATAATAATATATATGTTATTATATATTTAGTATGACACTTTTTTATTTGTGCGACCTACTTGTGTTATATTATAATATTTTTTAACTTACAACATTTACTTACATTAAACATAAATATATCAATTGAGAAATATTTTTATTTTTCTAATTAATTTTAATAAATATTATTGTTTTTTATTATTATAAAGATAAATATAATTTATTTATTTCATATATACAATATGGATGTCAAATCGAAGATCATCAAAAGATGATTAATTTGATACATTATATATGTAAAACAGATAAAAAATACAAAAGTTATCAACTTTTAAAATACATTTACAATTAAATACTAATTGAAGGAAACAAATCAAAAGTCATGGATATATTAGTCACTTAATGTCTCACTATGTAAAATTACAAAGAATTAAAGGGTTATATTAGTACAAGTGATATTAAAATACCTAAGTTAATTATTTAATATTTAGATCATGCTACATGTACCTCTTGGTGTACCACTTGGAACTAAATTATTCATTAAGGGTAAATGGGTACATGTACCTCTTGGATGTAAACCAAGTGGTACACCAAGGGTTACAAGTAGCATTACTCTTAATATTTATGCAATGTCCGAACCTAGATTATTAGTTATTAATATATCAATATTATTTGTCCAAACCTAATTACGAAGCATGATTCTTTGCCAAGTAGGATTCCGAAGCACCAGAAGCAGTCATGTAGGCTCAGCGCATCCAAAAACAACATATAGGGAAGATACTCGTGTACTACACAAGTAATTGTTAAGAAAATTATGTTTAAAATTAAATAATAATAACAATAATTGTTTAAAATTAAATATATGTATTTATTAAGTTAGTTTAAGGTTTTCATGAAAATTAATGAGTTGATTTAGAGCTTACAAAATAAATTAAGGTTATATTAGTCAATCAGTTTAATTACCAAAGGTTCTCTTACAACATAGAGGTTATATTAGTCAAACTATCATGTAATTACCAAGTTAGTTTTTTAATATTTTTTGAATGTCCGAACATGTAATTATTATTTAGAATGTAAGAAAGTGGGAAAAATATGTTTTGTATTATTCACAAAGGCATATACACATATATATAGATACATAGAAGGTCTAAACCTAACTTATTGTACAAGAAAACATTTAACATAACTAACATCCCCCCTCAAACTCAAGGTGGTATAGTGGAGATCAACTTGAGTTTGCTAAGAAGTAAACAAAAGCGACAGGGAAGGAGAGACTTCGTGAAGACATCCGCTGGTTGATCTATAGAGGAGACAGAAACAAGCTTCACAGTTCCATGTGCAACATGTTGTCGAATGAAGTGACAGTCAATTTCAATATGCTTGGTAAGCTCATGAAAGGTATCATTATGAGACATCTTTATAGCACTCTGACTAACACAATGTAAAGCAGTAAACACCGACTGAGGTGTAGCAAGATCAGCAAGTAGTCGATGCAGCCATAATAACTCTGAGGTGGAATCAGCAAGAGCACGATACTCAGACTCAGCACTCGATCTGGAAACCAATGTTTGCTTCTTACTGAGCCAAGAGACAAGTGAATCACCAAGAAAGAAGCAGTACCCAGTAATAAAACGACGATCAGTAGGATCTCCAGCCCAATCTGCATCAGAATAACCGCTAAGCGTCAAAGAAGAATAGGCCGAGAAGTGTAAGCCATCCAATAGAGTGTCCTTCACATAGCGAAGGATGTGCAACACAGCGGAATGATGCGTGGTTCTCGGAGCAGCCATAAACTGGCTCACAATATGAACAACATGAGCTATATCAGGCCGAGTGACAGTCAAGTATATCAAACTCCCAACAAGCTGACGATATAATGTAGGATCCTTAAGAAGAGATCCATCAAGTGGAGTAAGACGAACATCATAATCAAGAGAGTGGAAGCTGTCTGACAATCAGTGAGACCGGCCCGAGCAAGAAGATCAGAGGCATACTTGGCTTGAGACAAATAGAATCCATCAGACGAATCAGAGATCTCAAGACCCTAAAAATAGCGAAGCTGGCCCAAACTCTTTATCTCAAAATGCTGACGAAGATAATCCTGCAAATCGGAAATACCGGTAATATCATCCCCCGTGATGATGATATCGTCAACATAGAGTAGCAAAATAATGATCCCGGAGGAGGAGCGCCGAAGAAATAAAGCAGAATCGTGATCACTCGTAGTGAAACCAAACTGAAACAATGCAGAACTGAACGTGGCATACCAAGCACGAGGCGCTTGTTTCAAGCCATACAAAGCTCGACGTAGACGACAAACTTTCCCAGATGACAATGATCCAGGAGGAGGAGTCATGTAAACCTCCTCAGACAAGGCACCGTGTAAGAAGGCATTCTCGACATCTAACTGTAGAAGAGACCATCGACGAACAGCAGCAACTGCAAGTAAACACCGGACAGTAGTAAGACGAGCAACCGGTGCAAAGGTCTCTTCATAATCTATGCCATACTCATGGGAGTAACCCTTAGCAACCAAACGAGCTTTGTAGCGCTCAATAGATACATCTGAATTTGTCTTGATCTTATACATCCACTTACATCCGATGGGAGCCTTGCCAGCAGGTAAATCCACTAAATCCCAAGTATGAGTCTTTTCTAAGGCCTGTAATTCCTCAGTCATAGCTTTTTGCCACAATGGATCAGCATTCGCCTCACGAAAAGACCGAGCCTCACGAATCCCAAGAATGGCCGAATAACAATGATAGTCAAGTAAGTGAGAAGGGGGACGACTTACACGAGTCGACCGTCGCTGATCAATAGCTGACAAAGGTACAGAATCAGAAGAGGGCTTAGTACGAACTATCGGTTCAGGATGCACAGATGGAGCCACTTTAGAAGACGAAGGCATGACAGGCGTGTCAATGAGCTGTGAGTCAGACCTATACCTGTATCTGGAAAAAGATCTGAAGTGATAGACATGAATAAAGGAGACGTCGAATCAAACGGAATGTGGAACTTAGACAAGGAGGAAAAGGTAGTATGCTCCCAAAAGGTAACATGACGCGAAATACGCAACCGATTAGAAATCGGATCCCAACACCTAAATCCCTTGTGTTCTACCACATAACCCAAAAAACAACACAGACGAGCTCGGGGTTCTAATTTGGTCCGCTCATGGGACGGAAGAAGAACAAAGCAAACACAACCAAAAGGACGTAACTGAGTATAATCAGGAGACTGACCGTACAACGTCTCAAAAGGACTGACATCACTAATGACTGATGAGGGCAATCGATTGATAGCATAAACAGCAGTCAAGGCTGCCTCACCCCAAAAACGATTAGGACACTGAGTAGAAAGAAGAAGAGCTCAGACAGTATCAAGAATGTGACGGTGTTTACGTTCAACTCGTCCATTTTGTTGGGAAGTATATGGACACGAACGCTGAACTAAGGTACCCTGATCAGAAAGAAATTTCAAAAAAGTAGAATCTTTGTACTCAAGAGCATTATCAGTACGCAAGACCTTTATAGGACAAGAAAATTGTGTAAGAATCATGTTAGCAAATTGAACATATATGGTGGACAACTCAGAACGATTTTTGAGAAAATAGATCCAGGTAAAACAAGAAAAATCATCAACAAAAATAACAAAATACCGAAAACCAATCAGAGAAGCAACAGGAGAAGGACCCCAAATATCAGAATGTACCAAACCAAAAGGTTTATCAACAGTTGACAAACTATCAGAAAAAGAAAGAGCCGGTTGTTTCCCAAGTTTGCAATGAAGACAACTAAAAGACTCAAAATGACCTGAACCCAAAAGACCCATATTATGTAAAGAACGAAATTTATTCGAAGACGCATGCCCAAGACAAAGATGCCACTGGAAACTAGACTTACAATCGGTGGCAGAAGCAGAAAAAGAGTAAGAACGAGGGACATGAAGTGACTCAAGCTCAAATAACTGGCCCGTCTTGCGACCTTTCCCGAGAAGCCGTCCCGTCTGTGAATCCTGAACTTGAACACCAGAAGATGAAAATATAACATTAAGACCTTGGTCAACCAATTGACCAACAGAAATAAGATTCAAGGCCAAGTCAGGAACGCAATATGTGTCGGGAAGATGCAAGGAAGGGGAAGAAATCAAACCAGTGTGAGTAACATTCATAAGAGTACCATTAGCAGTATGTATAGGAGGTAAAG